ATACCGGGTTCCATTGTCTGCTGAATAATGGCGATTTTTTCCTGAGGAGTTTTACGTTTACGAAGCTCCTGCCCCTGCAAAATTCCAGTCATCTCAAAATTAGAACTAGTGTTAGACATATACCCAAGCCTATCTCTTATTTTAAGATACATCCACTGTCTGGCGTTTCAAGGGGCGGCTCAACAAGAACAACCCTGTATCAAACCATGTTTATTAACGGATAATAAAAAACAAATACATTAACCCATCAATACAACATCGCTGAGTAATTTATATGTTTTATTTCACTATTTTAGGTATATAAAATCCTGTATTTAAGAATCAAAACGAGGCTATTAAATAAAACATTCGGAAAAACACACTTTCGACAGCTAATATTTTTACTTCCTGTTTAGAGGTAATTTGTTTTTTTGCACAAAAGGATAATCAATTATAGCGAATACAATTTAGCATGGCTAAATTGTATTTTATGGCAAGATGGTTACATTATGAGAATTAAATTTTTAGCAAAATGCATAATATTAAGTTCATTCGGGTATATACATTACGTTAATGCATCTAACATAACTTTGCTCAGTTCTTCAAATTATTCATCTACCGCTCCCGGTCAGGGATACCCCAATGTTAGTCATGGGGCGATTACTTTAGCAGGTGATGATGACTATTGTGGGGCAGACAATGTCATTGGACGCAGAACTGTAACTGATGTGACAACAGGAGCCATAACAGGCATTTGAACAGTATCAGCGTTTTATTAAAAACGAAGCATTCAATGGTTATGGTCAGATTTATCACCCATATGGAACCTCATTCGCAGTAGCTTAACTGGAGTAATAATGGTACAACAACCAATAACATCGGTTATCAAGGGCCGTTAACGGGTGGGGTGACAAATGCTGTTCCTCAAGGCGTATTGGCGTGTATTCATGGGCGTCGGGTTGTGGCGCATATACCACAGGAAACTATTCCACTGCATTCGGCAGTAACGCCACTGCAACAGGTGCTGCAGCTCAGGCTTTTGGTGTTTCAGCTCTGGCATCCGGGACGACCAGTCTGGCCATTGGGGTCGGTGCTGAAGCTGCGGGTGATTCCAGTATTTCTCTGGGGTCTGTTTCAAATGCCGGGGGCGATAATAGTGTGGCCATTGGAATGGGAGCATCTTCATCAAATGATGGCGATGTGGCTTTAGGGAGTGAGGCAAAAACAGCCGCTGTGACTGCAACAACATCCGGTATCATAAATAATAAGGAATATACCTACGCAGGTACCCGTCCGGTAGCTGCCCTGAGTATTGGTGATACAGGGAAAGAACGTCAGCTGCAAAATGTTGCAGCCGGACGAATATCCGGAATCAGTACTGACGCTGTTAACGGCAGTCAGCTTTTTGCAACGAACAGTGCATTAACACAATCTGGTAATAATATTCGCGATATCGCTGTTTTTTTGGGCGGAGGTGCTACCATTACGCCTGATGGCTCTTTCAAAGCTCCGGCTTATCAGATTCAGGGCAGTACCCGCTCAACCTTGGGAGAAAGCCTAACTGCGCTGGACACTGCCCTAACCATTAACACTCAAAAAATAAACATGTTAAATGATTATATCATTAAAGCCCCTAGGGGGATGCGTCAGGATCCGATGTCTGGGAAGAGCGGTATTACAGCAACCAGCGGGGAAACATTAGCGGATTTGACCAGTCACAACCGCAGTCAGGGAGATACCCTGATGGTAGACAATAGTAAAAATATGGACAATAAAGTGGTATCTGTTGGCTCCGGAAGTGGAGGCTCTTTGGTCGATTTTCGCGGGACGGATGGTGAAAGGGGGCTGACAGGGATTGCCGATGGAGCAGTCAGTGCGACCAGTACCGATGCTGTAAATGGTAAAC